GCATGGCATTCATAAATCAGAATGCAAGAACCACACCTTTATCGGTGTGCAAGTGACATTTGCATGCCGCATTCCGCGGTAAGGCGCCACGCGACAGCATTGACGGCCAAAGCGTCGCAAAGGAAAAGAAAACCTTCAGCGTTCAGATACCAGGCAGACCGCTACGCCAAAAGCTCTGTTGGACTTCTGCGCCGCGTAAGGTTGAATCACACAAATATTTTTTGGTGCCTCGGGCGAGCAAGCATAGTCACAGGTGTCTGCCTACGCCTACTTTTTCGGGGTACGTTACACGAGTTGAGGTGCACTGGGGTAGTTTCGCAAAATGAGCTGGGGCTAAATAATTAAAAAGGGAAGAAATCTACCTCAAAAATATGCCTTCAATATGACTTTCCCCCATTATGACTCACTTTCTTCCAAAAGTTGGTGAGGCGGAGGGGGATGCCTGGAGCCTAGGAGGGGAAAGAGGGACGGGGAGCTGAAGCCACTTGAAACTGAACAGCAAACTACGCCCCTGAACAGAAGCCCCAAATTTTGTTTCGTTGTTTGATTGTCTTGCACACAACATATTTTTGTGATAATTTGTAGACGATTGCGTATTCTTGGTTGAATGCACGTGACTTAGCTGTTGACGACTGATGAAGTTGAGTAAAAACCAATATTTCCTGGTAAAGCCAACACATGGTTGAGATATAACATCACATATAATGTTTAACTTTTAAGAGCTTTTCAGCGCATCAATGCATTGTAGGAACGGCTGGTTGTTCGCCCTGTCATTTCTTTAATGCTAGGGTATTTTTGACGCTAGGGTTGCAGGCATATCATCCCCAAATTATGAGACAGTCCAGTTCATAAATGTACAGAAGACTCGAACTAGTTACCAAAACTATCAAGATTATCTGGCCAGCTATATTGTCATCATAATCAGGCATTATTCGACTTGTGCTGAAATTCGCGCTTTGTATAGTGGATTGCTGCTGTGATTGATGGTGTGATAATCCTAACCATACTCGTGTTTAATAACTAGTTGAAATGTATGTGAAACTCTAAACTCTGAGTTAACTCTAAGTAACCCGTGAACTCTAAGCAGCCGTGCAGTGGTACCAGTCGGGGGTGAAACCCACTGCAGTGGGCGCGCGAATGCCAGCAGAAGATTTGTTTACCATGCCTCATCAAATGAACGTGACCATCTGCCCTCATCATGCCGCAACACCCGACGGCATGCTGCCCAATGCCTGGACAATGCACAGTCTGTGAGCCTTCTGCGAAAGAAGTTCCCGGCCCGCAAACAAGCGCGTGTTTGTCGATACAAGGACACGGGCTTCATAAGAATTCACCGTGCCAGCAGCGGGAGAAAGAGTGTACATTCTCATGATAGGATAGAACGTGAGAGGACGTGAAGGGACATGAGAGGATAAAATGTAAACACTTTTCCCAATGAGTGCTCTATTGTCCGATGTATCCTATGAACTCATGAGCCAGTTCTGCACTGCAGAACGTGCAGAGCGACTTGATGCAGACCCGTCTTGAGACCTCAGCAGGCCCGCAACAGCAGATTTTCCCGTCACACCATAAACCCGGGGAACTCCCGAAATCCTGGAGCTAAGAGCACCTCCGTGTGGAAAAATCAAACAAAAACAATGCCTTCATACTCCCGTATAGAGCACCCTAACGATGTTTATGCAACCATGTAGCACACAAATGACACGTCAAATCACGTTATCACCTACAAATATCATGATGCAGAAGTGTAATACGCAGGGAGCGATGGCTACCAGCAGGATGATTGAGTGTTCAAGGCAGAGCCGTTGACGACAAACTTCGATTTATTCCGAAGGTTTTAAATCTGTCACGTCCTTGCATACACAAACCATAAGCTTCTGATGGATTCTGGGGTGATGCCGGTGGAGTGAGTCCATGAGATATGGTATCCAAGAGGAAATTTCAGTGATATTTCCAGCAAGGTGTTTGTTAGCTCATTCACGGGCATGTCTTCTGGGTTTTCCAATGTAAACAGTTTGCTCTTTGCCACACCAGTTACATAGAACTTCGTACACCGAGCTGTTTTTGTGAAAGCGGCCAGGCGGTCCACTTAGCACGTGTTGTTCCTTTTGGTACCCATTGTGGTGTTCGTGCTCGGTTTAGTGACGTCACGTGTGGGCAGCCCACCCTGCCGTTCGATATGCCGATTACGGCAACCTTGTCTGCCGAGAGTGGATGCGCTAAGTTGGCACGGCGTGCACGTGTCCAGAGAAGAACGCATCGTAGATTGGTTTAATCGTATGTGCCAACGAACCAAGGACTTGACATGGCGCGGTCGGTAGGGGATATAATGTGAATGTCATGTTTTGCACATTTCGCCTCAAGTACTTCTCGGCACGAGTACGACACTATAGGCAAGCCAGTCAAAGCCGAATGAGTATGGAAAGCACATGAGAAGCACACCGTACCAATAAGGTCCTCAGTAGTCTAGTACACAGCGCGTCGAGCTCTCATGCGGCGGGGCCGGGGTCAAGTGCCGGTGGAGACGATCGTTCTGACACGAGGGCGGATGGAAATGATTTTGCCGCTGCTGTAGCGATCCTCACTAATCTGTTGAAAGACTAAGTACGAAGCCGCTAACCAGCGTGAACCAACGTATGGGTGATCTTGTGACTCAGGCTTTGCAGGGCAGACAAGGGGGCGAGCCCGCAGACGAGGCCGTCGCCGAGAATTCACAATCCACGACCAGCAGACTTCGCCTTCCACCGTCAGCCACCCCAGCACCGCGGCTAGCCACCTCCGCTAGTCTGAGAGAGTTCTCGGCCTGGCGAGAGAAGCGCAAAGGCTACCGTCTTCTCACAGACCTCGACTCCCTCCCCATCAAAGAGCAACGAGCAGCGCTACTGGCACTCCTCGACGATGAATGGACGCGAGTCGTGCGCTATTCTCTGGACGTGAGCGACACCACTAAAGGAGACAACCTGCTGGATAAGATGGAGAAGCACCTCAGAAGCCTAAGGAGCGTCATACTCGACAGGAAGGAATTCTACACAAAACCGCAAGCAGATGGAGAGCCGTTCGACGATTACCTGATGGCGATAAAGGAACTGGCGGAATTCTGCGACTTCTGTGCCCACTGTATGGACGACAGACTCAGGGACAGGATCGTAACCGGCATCCGGTGTGTGAGAAAACGCTGCGACTTCTTCTCGCCATCGCTGACGCTGCAGAAGGCAATCGACATCTGCCAACCGTGTGAAAACGCACCACAGAAGAGCGAAGCGCTCCGCGGGAGCCACGCTCGCCGTGTCCGCCTACCGCCGTGGCCGGAGCCGGGACAGCAGAGGTAGACGGGACAGCCCAGACAGCCGACAAAGACGGAACAGCCCAGACGATCGTGGAACACGATCCAGCATGGAAAGACGGGACGCCAGCTACAGACGAGGCGACGACTTCAGACGAGGCGACAACTACAGGCGAGACGACGGCTACAAACGAGACAACCGATCGCATAGTCGCGAGAGGCGATGCAGTACTGTGCCGAACCATGGCGTCCCAAGGAGCAGATGGCCTCTTGCCCAGCCAGAAACACGACGTGTAGTGCCTGTTGCATCAAAGGACACTGCACATCAGTCTGCAAGCGGGCTAGACGGAGCAACACGTGGTCAGACTGCGGAGAACGACAGACGTCCGACAACCTCCATGTGAACGACGTGCGCGCTCAAGGCGTGACCGCCAAGAGGACGCCACAAGTGTTTCTCCTGATCAGCCATCAGTGAGGTGAAGAATCACTCCTGTGGACCCCACATGCTGGTGCCGAAGTCTCCGTCATCGGCACCAAAGAAGCAGAGCGGATCGGCATTGACTCCGCGCAGCTGACACAGCCGGCCGACAGTCTCCTGGCCGCTGGAGGGCATCAGCTGGAGTGTACCAGCACGTTCCAGTGCAAGTTGACCATGGGACGACGCCAGACGTCGAACACCGTGACAGTTGTGACAGGCGTAGACGCGGCCCTCCTGTCATGGCATGACTCCATCGCGGTTGGCATCATCTCGCCTGACTTCCCGAAACAGATCTACAGTGTCACAGGAACAACGACGCAACATACTGCTGCTGAAGAGACGACGGTCTACACCCGTGACGACTCAGGACGTTCAAGCAGCAGAAGTCAGCCCGTCCCTCCCAAGATGGAAACCAGACGACGGGGACCCGACGCCAGCCCAGAGGGACCAGCACCTGGACACGCCGAAGAAGGCGTTCCCGAGAGTGTTCAGCACCCAGCCACCGCTGAGGGAGATGTCAGGTGGTCCAATGCGGATCGATCTACGGCCAGGCGCTTGTCTGTACGCTGTGACAACCGCCAGACACATCCCGCATGCATGGCGAGACGACATCAAGCATCAGCTGGACGACCTGATCGCACAAGACGTCATGACGCCCGTAGCACACCCGACTGAGTGGTGTCACCCGATGGTCCAGTGTCGAATTCGCCCACGGACCGAAGTCACGGCAAGACCTCCGTACGCATGTGCGTGGATCTGACCAGACTCAATCTCTACGTTCGACGTAGAGCGCATCCAGCCACCACGCCTCACGATGTCGTCACCGGAATCGAGCAAGGGAGCCGGTACTTCACGAAGCTGGACGCGAAGTCAGGATACATTCAGGATCCTCGATCGCAGAGGAAGACCAGGACCTGACGTGTTTTATAACACCCTGGGGACGCTACAAGTTCAAACGCGCCGTCATGGGCCTCTGCACGTCCGGAGACGAGTATGGACGGCGTGGAGACGCAGCACTGGCGGGCCTGCCGAAGGCGAACAAGGTGACCGCCGACATCCTGGCCTGCGATGACGACTACTCGACCCACCTTCTGCACGTGGCCCAGATTATTCAGCGATGTGACAGCCATGGCATCACCCTGAACCCGGCGAAGGTGACGTTCGCCGCTCAGACGCTAGACTTCTGTGGCCATGTCATCAGCCCTGACGGCTACACAGCAGACTAGCGCACGGTGCAAGCTATCGCTGACTTCCCCGTTCCAGAGAACCTCACAGACTTAAGGAGCTTCATGGGACTGGTCAACCAGCTCGGAACGTTCTCGACGGACACAGCCAGGACAGCCGAGCCTTCACGCGACCTGCTGAGACCGCGGAGCCAGTGGACGTGGACATCGGTGCACCAGGCAGCGTTCGAAGCCGTCAAAGCAACGCTCGTCACCCCTCCGATCCTGGCCTACTTCGACCCGTCACTGCCAACCGCAGTCCACACAGACGCATCACGACTTCGAGGCCTGGGCTACGTGCTGCTGCAGCGTCACGGCCAGGAGTGGAAGCTGGTCAGTGTGGACTCCAGATTCTTGTCTGAGGTCGAGTCACGCTACGCTGTCGTGGAGCTCGAGAATGCTGGCGGTGACCTGGGCCGTGCGCAAGTGCCACATCTATCTGGCTGGAATGGCAGAGTTCAGCCTCGTCACCGACCACAGACCTCTGGTGCCCATCTTCAACACCAGGTCTCTGGCGGAGATAGAAAACCCCAGGCTCCAACGACTACGAGAGAAGCCCATGGCATACACCTTCACAGCCGCCTGGAAAACTGGAAAGACTCATCAGCTCCCAGACGCGCTGTCAAGGTCACCCGTCGATCAGCCGAACCCTGAAGACCAGGAAGCTGAACACGACGCGACGTACCAGACGCGCAGTGTCCTCCTGACACGCCCCACCGACGGCGGCGAAGACGAAGCGGGATCTACACCGTTCCAGGACGCTCTGCTGGAGAACGTCAAGGAAGTTGCCAGCGCGATCGAGGCATACCAAAAGGTGGCTGAGACCGTCATGCAAGGTTTTCCCGACCACAAGGCAGACCTCGCCAGTCTGGCTCATCCCTACTGGGACGTCTGAGAGCGCCTATCCATCGAGGACGGCCTTCTTGTCTGTGGAGCACGGCTCGTCATCCCGTACAGCCTGCGACGTGAAGTGCTCGAACGCCTTCATGACAGTCACCAAGGCGTCGATAGGGCAAAGCGGCGCACCAGACAGTCGGTGTACTGGCCGAACATCGACCAGGACGTCCACAATTTCGTGACATTATGTCGCCACTGCCATGAGAGACTGCCCAGCCTGCAGAAGGAGCCACTCATGACCGACCCCAAGCCGACAAAAGGCTTCCAGTCCGTGTCAGCGGACTTCTTTCACCACGCAGGAAAGACGTTCCTCGCGTACGCCGACAGACTTTTCGGTTGGCCCATCGTCGTCTCCTGCAACAGAGAAGTGACATCACGGACCCTCGTCTGCTCTCTGCGCGAGATCTTCTCCTCCATAGGGGAGCCAAACGTCCTGAGAAGCGACGGAGGCCCACAGTTCACGGCGCACCACACCAGGGACTTCCTCGTGCGCTGGGGGGTCAGACACGTGCTATCAAGTCCGCACTACCCGCAGTCGAATGGCCACGCAGAATCAGCAGTCAAGCTGGTCAAACGACTCCTGCAGAAGACGTCTGTGGCCGGCAACACGGACTCCGACGGGTTCGCCCGAGGCATCCTGGAGATCCGCAACACGCCCCGGGTGGACGGACGCTCATCCGCCCAGATCCTCTACGGGCATCCAGTTCGGTCGGCGGTCCCCATGCACCATCGCGCCCTCGACAAAGTTTGGCAGAAGGCTGCGGAGGATTGCGACCGGGAGGGGGAGGATGTAATGAGAGCGACGACTACAGCCTACGACAAAGGAGCAAAGTCACTGCACCCGATGCGAATCGGCACGAAAGTGAGCATGCAGGACAAGGAGACAGGACTCTGGGACAGAATGGGAGAGGTCGTGGCCATCGGGAAAATGAGGGATTACCTGGTAAAGTTCCCCAGCGGTCGCACCATGTGGCGGAACCGACGGTTTATTCGTATGTACCGGCGCGTTTGCGCCACACAGGGCGATCCGGCCCCGCACGTAGCGACGTCGCACCGAGACCAGCTCCAAAGAAGGTGCGGTGAGTGGACCAACCCAGGACGGTGGCGTCGCGTCGAGGCAACCGTCAGCGGAGGGCCCCAGAGAGGCCAGAGGTCGATCCGAAGATCAAGACCTACCGATCGAACTGGGGGGAGGTGTGGGAAACTGAGCCAAATCTGGGAAAAGCCCGTTTGTTCGCAAAGTTTCGTAGTAGGCTTCAACGCTGTTCACGGTTAAGCCCGCCCAAAATATGTTGCAAAACGAAGTCCTTGGTTTGAAGAACAGGTTGAGTCCATGACCCATGTCTTTGTGGGGTAGGTAAGGAGACATTCTTTTAAAAAAAAATGATAAGAAAATATTAGCGCAATTTAGGCATCAAGATATTGACGCTGTTGAGTACAGCTATCAGGCATTGTGTTGTTTGGTGACCCCTCAGTTAGTTTACATATCCCTGCTGTTGCGAATTCCCACAGTGTCAACAGCCGTGCACCAACGCACGTCTTGGCACGTTCTGGAAAACCACGGCAGAGAACGCCGCACCGTGCCCGACTACGAATTACACGAGTAAACGGAGCCAGCCCTTCCCCAGGCAGCTCCTCTCCCAGAATCAGCGACAGAAATTTCCCGGTCTAGTGTGCAAACACAGGCGTCACTGAGGTAATGTTGACGCTCGGGGGACCTCCAGGCTGCTCCACTCATGTATAAAACTGGTGTCACAGCGGGAGGAACCAACAGTCGCAGAAGAGCACGCACACAGCCAGGTAAGGCGCTTCAGCTCGGGCCGGCTCGGCCACCGCGGTGTCGAAGGCCTGGCCACTTCGCCACCGGTGCTGTGCAGTGGTCTGGGGCTACAGTAGTGTGTGTTTTGCTATCCACATTGATGTGACTGATCTCTCTGAACGAGGGCTGAAGAGCGCACAATCCGGGTTATGTTGCCATTTCTCAAGCCAATTGTAATTGTATATTAGGTTTTCATTTCAGCTTGGTGCAGCGTCGTCTTGATCCGATGTCTTGCTGCTGTATTACTTTTTACAAGTCATTTGAAATGTAAGAACTATGGTTTCCTGCTAAACTAATCGATAATCAATGCGTCCATCTATCCATTTTCCTGGCTATTCTTCGAGGAATAATGCTAGCAATATGTCTTATCGATATAGATAACGCTCCTCGCAAATGCGCGTACCAGTTTACGAAAGTCCGCATCTGTGCCCGTTTCGGGGAGCGAAACAACTTAACCCCTTTCGTTGGGTGTGGGGATGAGAGTTGTGTTGAGAAATGAGGACACGGACTACAGGCCACAAAGTGCTGGAATAGATACATACCCGTGATGTTTCATGCCTCAAATATATGCATTGTTGCGTTATAATGTGTAATACCTCAACACATTTGGTTGCATTTGCCAGCACCACGTGGAAGCACCATCGTTGTTTGGGCTTAGCAGCAGTATGTTCGCGGTATGACCAGTGACTTGTGTTGCAGCAGGTATGAAGGTCGTCGCTCTCCTGCTTGTGGTCTGCGCCTCCGTGGCCTGGGCAAAGCCCCTCTGCTTCGGAGGCATCTGCATTCCTAACGGCCAGGCCACTGGAGGGGCTGCGGGCACCGTCACCAGTGGCACCAGCAATACACCTGGTGGCACCAGCAAGGTTACGTCTGTCAGCTCCAGCGCAACGGTAAGTGCGCGGAAAAAAGAGCGCCGTCGAAGGGACACGCCTGAAAAAACATGAAATGGATTGATTTGGTTGTTCGCATTCCGATGAATGGAATGGAAATACATCATAGGTTATTCGCTCAGGCTAGCAAGCATTGTATGGATTCTGATAGACCGCATACATCGTTATCCCATTTCACTGAATTATTTTGTATTATTTATTAATTGCTCCCCAAAATTCGGGTTAGCATGGCGAAACGTAAAAATGCATTCGTCGGTGAACTGGACTAAACCAAACTGCGTACATTCGGCAGTGTCATTTACATTTTGCCTTGTGTGGTCCAGCACGATTATTAAATACCCGCTTGGATCACCGCCAGATGTGTCGTCCTCCTTTACTTCGTGAAGCGGGGCATGGCATGCAATGCGCAGTGACCAGCGCATGGCAAGTATGGCGCTCGGTCTCCATATCATTATCGTATCATTATCTCAATATAATTATCAACATCGTTTCGTTTGCAGGGATCCGCCAGCGGGCCGTGTGCAAACAGCCACAACTCCGCACATGCCTCCAACAAGAACAAACAGGGACTGCTGGGCAATGCGGAATCAAGCGACACCGGAGCCGTCTCAAACCAGAGCACCGGCTGCTAAATGACTCAGTCGCAGTCATCTCGGCATGCGTCGCAATGGCACATGTGAAACGCTTGTTACGTCGACAGACATTGTCATATCGGGCGTCGGTTGTGACATGGAATCGTAATGTGCAATACAGGCTTACCCCGCCATGATTCAGCTCCAATGTGTTGGCGCTGACAGTGCCAGGTGATGTTTCTCCGTGGAAGACGCACCACAGGATGCACGACAGTTAATGGCGTGCAAAGACCAATAAAACGTACGTCACCCATATCTTGGGGTAGCATCTTGATCACTGTATTCGATTCCACTTTAAGCACCAAAAAACCTATAGAGATCATGCCATAGCTTATAGCTGACGCCAAGTACTGGGCTAAGCCCATTTTCAATACTCGATGCGAGTTGACGAGAACGTTGGACTTGGAGGAGGCAACCGCATTATATACGATCAAAGGCTGGGTGATTACCGAATGTTCATGTTGTATAACGCACCATTACGGTTGGCATTTCGCTCCCAACCATGTTCTGACAGCTCTAAACAAACGTAATGTAATGGCTGGCGCTCTGAAGGCGTGGGCAAATGCTTTGAGATTACAAAAACCATCAACACTAATTAGATGTATATCACACGCTGCTAAATAGCCGAAATGAAGTGCAAGGAATACTGTTGTAAGCTTTGGATCTTATCGTTCAAGCGACCTCGGAACCCATCCACAACACCTAAAAAAAAATTGATGTCAAAACTATCAAACCGTTTGTTAGAATAACGCGTGGAACGGCTTTCAACAATGCTGAAAGCTAGCTCAGCGTTCAATGGAGGGACACGTCACCAAAACGTTGAGCCTATGTTCTCACGTTGAACTCTGTATAATGTTCGCCCCGAAAGTTTCATCTTACATATCTCAAAAAGCTGACACTCGAGCACACGAGCGAGCAGCCCGGGAGACGGAGGCATTGACACACCGGGGTGATGAAAATCGCTCTCCCGCGCACGGGTGAGAAAAGTGCTTTTTCCGTCACCGAACAAATTTGAAACCGTCTAATTGTCACCTGCAGCCGAACCTGTCAGAAACCGTTGCTACAGAACTCTAAATGCAATAAATCACAATACAGACAAACGTAATGCAATGCGGCATACTCATCAACCATATTTGTTTCGGTGGTTTATTTGCACTTACGTCAAATCTGTTGGCCTTTAAGCACTGAATGACGGCTAAGAGGTACATAATACAATTGTCAAAAAAGGCATGCTGAACATAACCAGCTTGAAGGAGTGTAGTTTTTTATTCAGCTAGAGGGAGTGAATTGTGCCTCTTGATCATGCATGTTGTTTCTTCTTGTTATTAATCATTTGAAACCTTGTTTTTCATTCCTTATCATATGTAGGACTTAGCCCACAAAAGCAATTTGAAGACACTACACTCCACATCCCGAATGGAAAAAGCGCTTGAGATGTGCGGAGAAAACTGTTTTCAGTGTATTTTTGGAAGCATGCTGAGCAATTTTGTCTTGTGCCTCCCCCATCCTCCGTCCTTCATCCCGACGTATTTTGCAAAAATTTATCCCTGCAGCTCTGCATTTACAGACAGCTTGGTTCTACAAGCACCTAACAACAATATCACCCTTGGTTTGTGACGTCTTCCAGCAATCAACCGAGCGCGCAGGCGACCTACCTTACCTGCGTTTAAGCACTACCGGTACAGAACTCACACTTCCTAACATGATCCGAATCATTTAGACCAAAACCCATGCAATATTGGTGACAACAGATGGGAACGACATTTTTCGACACCTCTACCACCTTCATTCATCTTTATCTGCAAGGTGATGAAATAAAAAGCGTGTAATCTCACGTCTGTACACCGATCAGCACGCTAAGCCTGAGGTGCTACAGGCAATGTCAGAGGCCTTCAAATGTAATGCCCAGAGTCTTACCCCAAAGCCGCCGTTACCCTCAGCACCACAAAAGGTCAGGGTGTACTTTCCTACCTAACGTTAGAAAAAAATCATTGTACACCATTCGTCGTGTTTAAGGCATGACATATCGTAAATAATCTCAAAACAGGTAGAATCATGCTCCTACCTTCAAATTTCAATAACTTCGATGGCGGGCCCCCGAGCGCCGCGCGCACCGCACCGCCTGGACTCCCCAGCGCCGTTTCCGCGTTGCCGTTGCGTAAATACAATATTTCTGCGTACCAAGAACTGTACAAAATGTACGGGACCAAAGTAAACCATTCGTCATGTTTAAGGCAGGACAACCATAACCTAACTGCGAACCATGAAAATATTTACTAAACATAAACCATATTTACCATAACCATATTTACCATACCATATTAGCCGTGAACCATACTATAAACCATAACTATAACTATAAACTATACTATATAAACCATACTATAACTATAAACCATATTTACTGCGAACCATAAAAATGTACCGGGACAAGGTAGCAAGAATCCATGAAATTTGATCCTCGACGCCAACGGGACCATGGGTTGCAGGGGGATTGGGTGGGGAATGTAAAGCAAAATGAGAACATGGCAGCTAAATAAAAGCTCACTATATGGCACCTATATATGGCATGGAACATGGATGCCAATGAGATGCTGGGTTGGAGGGGATATAGGGCGGGGAGGTTAGGTTAGGTTAGGTTAGGTTAGGTTAGGTTAGGTTAGGTTAGGTTAGGTCAGGTCAGGTCAGGTTAGGTCAGGCCAGGTCAGGTCAGGTCAGGTCAGGCTAGCTTAGCTTAGCTTAGCTTAGGTTCTGGTCTATTCTCTGTTAGGTTAGGTTAGGCTAGGTTAGGTTAGGTTAGGTTAGGTTAGGTTAGGATATGTTCTGGACTATTCTGGCCTGCATGTTTCATAAATGTACCTAAACTCGATAAGAAACGATTTTGGTTGCTTTATTATTGTTACCTTGGTCCCGTACATGTTTTATGGTTCTTGATAAGCAGAAATATTGTGCTTTCGCAACAACGTAGAAACGGCGCTTGGAAGTCGCGGCAGTGCGGTGCGGGGCGTGCGGCGCTCGGGAGCTCGCTATCGTATTTATTAAAATTCGAGGGTAGGAGCATGATTCCATCTGTTTTGAAATTATTTACGATATGTTCCGCCTTAAACACGACGAATGGTTTACCTTGGTCCCGTACATTTTGTAGAGTTCTTGGTAAGCAGAAATATTGTATTTACGCAACGGCAACGCAGAAACGGCGCTGGGGAGTCCAGGCGGTGCGGTGCGCGCGGCGCTCGGGAGCTCGCCATCGAAGTTATTGAAATTCGAAGGTAGGAGCATGATTCTACCTGTTTTGGGTGTAGGTGTACTTTCCTACCTAACGTTAGAAAAAAATCATTGCACACCATTCGTGTTCAAGGCGGCACATATCGTAAATAATCTCAAAACAGGTAGAATCATGCTCCTACCTTCGAATTTCAATAACTTCGATGGCGGGCTCCCGAGCGCCGCGCGCACCTCACCGCCTGGACTCCCCAGCGCCGTTTCTGCGTTGCCGTTGCGTAAATACAATATTTCTGCTTACCAAGAACTCTACAAAATGTACGGGACCAAGGTAAACCATTCGTCGTGTTTAAGGCGGAACATATAGTAAATACTTTCAAAACAGATAGAATCATGTTCCTACCCTCGAATTTTAATAAATACGATAGCGAGCTCCCGAGCGCCGCACGCCCCGCACCGCACTGCCTCGACTTCCAAGCGCCATTTCTGCGTTGTTGCGAAAGGACAATATTTCTGCTTATCAAGAACCATAAAACATGTACGGGACCAAGGTAACAATAATAAAGCAACCAAAATCGTTTCTTATCGAGTTTAGGTATATTTATGAAACACGCAGGCCAGAATAGTCCAGAACATATCCTAAACTAGCCTAACCTAACCTTACCTAACCTAACCTAACCTAACCTAACTGAGAATAGACCAGAACCTAAGCTAAGCTAAGCTAATGTAACCTGACCTAACATAACCCAACCAGACCTGACCTGACCTGACCTAACCTAACCTAACCTAACCTAACCTAACCTAACCTAACCTAACCTAACCTAACTGAGAATAGACCAGAACCTAAGCTAAGCTAAGCTAAGCTAAGCTAGCCTGACCTGACCTGACCTGACCTAACCTAACCTAACCTAACCTAACCTGAGAATAGACTAGAACCTAAGCTTAGCTAAGCTGACCTACCCTACCCTAACCTAACCTAACCTAACTAACCTAACCTAACCTAACCTAACCTAACCTAACCTCCCCACCCTATATCCCCTTCAACCCAGCATCTCATTGGCATCCATGTTCCATGCCATACATAGGTGCCATATAGTGAGCTTTTATTCAGCTGCCATGTTCTCATTTTGCTTTACATTCCCCACCCAATCCTCATGCAACCCATGGTCCCGTTGGCGTCGAGGATCAAATTTCATGGATTCTTGCTACCTTGTCCCGGTACATTTTTTATGGTTCGCAGTAATGTTGTGACCCCAGCAGTAATGGCGCCGGTGTCGCGGGTGCTGTGTGTGTGCGGCGCTCGGGAGCTCGCCATCGTAATTATAAAAAATTGAAGTTAAGATCATTAATCTACCTGTTTTGTGATTATTTACGATATGTCCTGCCTTAAACATGACGAATGGTTTACTTTGGTCCCGTACATTTTGTACAGTTCTTGGTACGCAGAAATATTGTATTTACGCAACGGCAACGCGGAAACGGCACTGGGGAGTCCAAGCGGTGCGGTGCGCGCGGCGCTCGGGGGCCCGCCATCGAAGTTATTGAAATTCGAAGGTAGGAGCATGATTCTACCTGTTTTGAGATTATTTACGATATGTCATGCCTTAAACACGACGAATAGTGTACTATGATTTTTTCTAACGTTAGGTAGGAAAGTACACCCTGATCCTGTTTTGAGATGATTTACGATATGTGCCGCCTTGAACACGACAAATGGTGTGCAATGATTTTTTCTAACGTTAGGTAGGAAAGTACACCTACGCCCCACAAAGCCCCACGTGAATCTTTGACAGGCGTCGCTCCAGCGTCCTACGCTTACCTCTGGAGCTACAGCCAAGCTATTCATAAACAACAATTGTCCACCATCGGCAGGTCTTTTTAAAGCTATTACATTAAGAGCTGACGATTGCCTACGTTGATCTAGCCAGTCAGATTCTCCTATGAACACCACCACCAGCAGCCCACAGCCTCGCCCTGAACCCAACGCATCACTGCGCGGCGAACGTTGGAGACCATCTGTTTCAAAAGACACGATGCTTTAAAACGCTGC